TTTCAAAGAAATGGTTGTTTATCTAAGCTTCAACAATGGGAAGTTGTTTTTATGAAACACCGGAAGCAGAAGTCAAGTTATGAGGTACAACAGATAGATTACTGCTTTTGAAACTGGTATATTATGGTTGAAAACTTTTACTTTTATTTTTTCCGCTTTGGTAGATTGTTGTATGATATTCCGAAATTTTACAAGTCTTAGGTCTATATTTAAGTCACGATTAAGGGGACTCATACACCTTAAAACCCATAAGATGTTTGAATAGGTGACAGTTGCAAGAATTGGGATAACTTACTTATTTTAAAAGCAATTACTACCAACTTTTTACAGATGATTACATACTATAGCTGCTTTCTGAAATAGTAATCAGAAAGTTTGTGTTGCCACAGATATTTTTATAATTTAATCCGCTTTGTGACACCATTTTTTGTCATGTTTCCAACTTGCGCGCGCAGTTTAAAACATTCTGTTTCATAATTTAATTCCATATTTAATATATAGCTTTTATAATATTTGGAAACGACTGTGAACCTAAAATTCCAAAAATTTCATGTTAAATTTTTATTTTATTTTGATTTGAGTTTATAAAATGTATTTTATTAAAAAAAATTTGTAATGTTTTCATCCATAAAATTTTTCATTATTAAAATATTCATTAGATTGTTGGTTCAGTTAGAAAATAGTGCCCATATAAAGAATTCCATCCAATTTCAAGTATGTACCATTAGCCATTTTTAAAATATCATGCGCGCAAGGTGGAAACATGGCGAAATATTTTGTCTGAAAAAGGATTAAATTACAAAAATATTTGTGGCAACACAAACTTTCTGGTTACTAGTTTCTAAAGCAGCTATATTATGTAGTCAGCTGTAAAAAGTTGGAGGTAATTGCTTTTAAAATAAATAAAATATCCCAATTCTTGCAAGAGTCACATATTCGAAAATCATGAGGGGTTTAAGGTATATGAGTCTCCTTAATAGCAAAGTTATAGTTTGATTTTTAGCCTCACATTTGTCCAGAAAGGCTATTAATTTGGTTTTGGCATTTTGCATAGATTCGCTATAAAAGTCTGAATCACTTTTCAAATTGTTGCCACCAAATATTAGAACCCTGCATTATATTTAAAGAAATTAAATAATGAGGAATCTGCATGGATGTATGTATGTTTCTCGCATCATGAAAAAGCAAGAATGTGCTTCAAAAATTCTGAAGATATGCTCTTCTTAAATATTTTGTGACATTGGTGTTGAATTTTGTGGTTTAAGTGAGAAGAACACGATATTTAATAAAGTTAACACACGAAACGCTACAAAAACCACTTCTTTAGGCGTAATATAAAATCTGAAAGCTTTCAGATTATTTTTCGTTATTTTATAAGTATTCAATTTCATTTCGTAAAATGCCAACTTTACAGGTTCTTTAGCTTTCCTTTAAATGGGACTCGCAAGAAATTAACTTCAGGCTCCTCGTGACCTTCAGACCTAACAATTCCCAGTCGGATGTGTTGATCCTTATTTCACGAGAACTGAAAGGAGATATTTAGCTTATCCTCTTTGAGGATTGGTAAAGAAAAGAGGTGAAACTTAGTCCAACAAATCGAACTACAGAAGAGTTACCGTTTACTATGGCTCAGTTTAAACACTGTAAAGTTTTAAAAATGCAAATCCTGAAAGATCAGCCGTGTTATCTCAAGAAACGGATGTCAACTCATCCCAATTGATAGCTGCAGGCTAAGGTATGGATTGCAAGAAAGTTATCCACGATACCACATCAAATCCTTCAAATAGCTAGTTAAAAAAAATCTGTCACTGCTTAACTTAATCATACGGTCTATTGAACTTCACACACTTTTTGTTCAACTTCATTTAAACTTATTTCCCCGAATTAATCTAACTTAATTAACCGATCTCTCGAAGCAAGATGAAATGACATCCAAATTTCAAATTTTGAAATTAAACATTCCTGTCTTTAAGGTATTTCTCCCGCCTTCCTAGCGTGCCTTCGTGGTCTAGTGGCACTGAGCCGGTATTTCAGAGGTCCGTGGTTCGATTCCCGGCGAAGGCGGTTGCTAAATTTTCATCTCTCCGGCCTCCAGAAAAAGACTAATGTCTCTACAGTGGCGCCCGAACTAAAACGGTTGTGGATGATGACTCTTCACACCCAGGATTTGATGATTGGATCCCCTAAAAATCTTATCTTCCTTTAAAAGGGGAAGTATATAAGGTATTTCTCCCTCCTTCCTTTATAGCATATCTTCACATTTCCTTTACAGCATATTATATAGATATTTTAGAGCATATCTTCCTAGCGTGCCTTCGTGGTGTAGTGGTCAGCACACAGAGTATTCATAGGTCAGCTCCGGTATTTCAAAGGTCTGTGGTTCGATTCCCGGCGAAGGCGGTTGGTAATTTTTCATCCCTCCGGCAAAAAAATCCTAATGTATCTACACGTCAATGTTCATCATCCGGAAATCAAAATTCCTATAATTTTATTTATTTATAACGAATGTAAAACTTTCCCAACTATAAGTATAGGAACCGGTAGACAGCATTAAAAGTTATTATTGTTATTTTTAAATTTGGCACTGCCAAAATATGAATATTTTCGTCATTTAAAGCACTTGGCAAAGTAAGGATTTTTGAGCTGGGTAAAAAGATGAGTATATATATGTATAAATTCGTAAAAAGGGAGAATTTTGTGTAACCCATTCACTAAATTTTACGGCTGGAATAGCTGGGATGGTGATAGCAGAAAGCTTGGTAATTAGAATATATCTTTATGACTTGTAGATGCTTATTAACATGTCATATTGCATAACATTTCTCATTACATGACTCAGCACAATGGGGGCAACCTTTACCTCAAGTTTTGTGTGTGTGTGAGTATGGCAAAGCCTCGAGGGCTATCTGCCTAAGAGGAGGGATGCCTTCGTGGAGGACTTCCTAAGGGAAACTGGCTCGTATACACGTTACACATGGAAAACCACGAAAACGCCCATGCAGCCAGCCCGTTCGCGGGATTCGAACCTCGGATCGAACTACCAGTGTTCAGCGATTTTACCGCTCGGCCGCTGGTGGGCCCTTTACCTCAAGTTTTGAGATACGTAGTTGTAGTTTTTAACAATTGAAAATACTGCGCAACAACGAACGAGGGTTATGCAAGCGACAGCAGGTGAGAAAAAGTGATGCGTGGAAAGTGGCTGGGGTATTCATAGTCGGAAATGCTTCATTTGAGTTCTAAATTATGATCAGATAAATGTCCACAACAGTGCTGATCTCTGCAGAGAAACTTGACGTAAGAAGGTGCTGTACGCATTTTTAAAGATGGGATGTATTTTAACTGAAAATTAGAAATTTAATTGCCTACTATAAATTTTATTAGATGTTATATATATATATATATATATGTGTGTGCGTGTTTGTATGTACACACACACACACGTTTGGTTCTGTCGATTGCAAGAAAAAAAAAAAAAGAGTTTGCACACTAAGATGCTCTAGAAGTTCCATGCACAAAATTTCAGCATTCTACGTCTAAACGTCTTTGAGCTATGTGAGATACATACATACATATGTACGTACAGAAGTCAGGAAAAAATAAGCTTTTAATCCACTTTAAATCCATTTTATAATCTATTTCGGAGGGATTTTCCTTTAGTCTGTCCGTACGTACAGACGTTGCACAAAAAAGTCGTCCAAAGAGACTTGGGAACTGTCAAAATAGCTATTTCTGTTGAAACACGATTCCCTAAATTTTTCGCTATTACGATACCTCCTTTACTTAGAACAAAGAATCGTAATTTAAAAGACTACAGAAGAGAAATTTTGCCCCCGACTATGGCTATGTTTAGAATTTTTGGAAATACAACTGCAAAGTGTTTACATTACATGCAGTCATTTTACACTCTTTAAATATAATTACAAATCAGAAAGTTTAGTTAGTTTATAAGGTTGTAGGGTTTATATTTATTTTAACTAACATTTATTTTAAGTTTAAATTATCTTTCCTGTCGAGCCTTACTTTCCCCTGGAACTGCCAATGCCAGAGTATGTAAATTTTAGTAGAACGCGCAAAGATTCAAATTGTCAGCGGAAGTATCTGAGTTAAATAGAAAGGAAACGAGTTCGAAAGTGTGCTTTCTTACTTCACGAGCGTGGAGGTGGCTAGTTAGAAATCGAAGAACCACGCGTTTCGGCCTGGGTGTTTGCCTCGGCAGATTGTTAATCTTTCAACGTAATATTCAGAGTGCTGAATTATCATCGGCATTTTAGAACGCGGTGAGGTTAGTTACGTTTAGAAAGCCTCGTAGTTAGTCACTTGTTACTATTCTTTAATTATTTTTTTTATTTTTATTTTACCGCCGGGTCGGCGTAGTTTGTGAGCGTCAAGAGCATGCATTTGTAATTTCTAAAGTTGAATAAAAAGGGATTTAAACCCTTCTCAAGACTTTGGTCTCCTTTCCAGTTCTCAGCAGTCACCACTATTGTTGCGTGCAGGTTGGAAGCGCGCAACGTTACAAGGTATTTCTCCCGCTACCTTGGCATGCCTTTGTGGTGTAGTGGTCAGCACGCTCGAAGTGAATTCGAGAGGACCGTGGTTCCAGTCCCGGCGAGGGCGTTGCTCATTTTTCACATCTCCTGTTTTGAAATAGCCTTATGAATCTACAAGTTATACTTATTTTCTCTCGGTGTAAATAAGAGAGGTGTTTGAGACTTCGGCAAACAGGAAAGAAGGAAATATTTCTTTCTACTGAACAAAGGCATTAGAATTAATCGTACGGCTCAAAATGACATGCCCCAAAATGATAAACAATGAAACCGAGATTATCCAAGGTTACAAGGACTGTAATCACATCGGATAATCGAAAACTAGGTTAGCAAAAACTAACTTTTAAATTATGTCAATTTGGCAAACATGTAAAAAAGATACAAATTAAAGGGTTCTTTTGCTTAGTTGTGCAAACATGTTAAGAAACTCGAAAAGAAATCTTCTTGTCTTACCAAATACTGTCATAAGTTGAGCCCGTGAGTCCTGTCCGGCAAGAGATGTGACGAGGCATGTGTACTTCCCGCTAAGTTCTGTGGAAGGCTGGGAAATCTTTAGCGCCCTGTACCTAGAATAAGCGTCCACTGTGTTGACGGCATAGTCGAGATCGAGTCTTCCATTCAGGATGCCGGAAGTGTGTCGAACCCCTAGTTCTGGGATCCATTGATATACAGGTTCCAAATTCTCTTCAAAAAACCATTTCACCACAAGACGTATGTCGTTTTCATTGTATATATATTCGCAGTCTAGAGTGATGGAACTTTCCGTGCCATTTTCAATCCATCGGGGAACAGATAGCCTTTTAATTTCCACTCCGCAGCAAACTAAATTTAAAAAGGAAAACAAAATTAAAAAGGATTTACTGAAAACATTCGCAGAGTTATTGAAACAAAAGTTGCAAGTACACAATTTTAAGAAACTTTTAATACAGAGTATCACAAGACTTGTTACTATAAAGCATGATAGCAATCGAAGGAAGCGAATTTATGAGCTATTACTGTAATATTTTCTTGCTAAAGGCTGAGGACAGTAACTACTACCTTCTAATGATTGGACAGGATAATGGCCGCTTCACGGTTTCCGCCTACGTTACGGTTTCCGCCTACGTGGTGGTAATGTACGAAAACGTTTCCCGAAAAAGCCTCTTTTTGAAAATATTTCGTCCAAGAACGATGGCTTTCGAATGCTTTGCCATAATACATAATCTAACATCATAAAACTTTATGAAATGAATAATACCTTACTTATGGAACTCTATCTTGTTTGCTAACTCTATCTGTATTACAAGATTTGAACAAAAACGTAATTATTCTTTTTTTCCTTCCTTATGCGAAGTAAAAGTTAGTATTGTCATCGCGAGAAATTTCTAGTATCATATTTAAACTAAAATATTTTTTTTGGCTCTTGAATCCGTTTGAACGATGATTTTGCTTGACATTAATACGTGCCGACAGAATAAAGGAAATTTTTCTCCAAAACGAATTGTAAAATGGGTTTAAAGTAGATTCAGAAGAGATTTTTTTTCATGACGTCTGAAAGTACGTACGTATATATCTCACATAACTCTAAAACGAGTAGCCAAAGAACGCTGAAATTTTGTATATAGAGCTTCTGGAACATGACTAAAAGCTGCCTCACAAAACTTATGTACGTTTACCACTATGTTGCCCGGCTCAGTGAGCTCAGTTTCTTTATACGTAGTCAAATTGTGCGTAAATCTATACGTAGTCAAATTGTGCATTTTATACGTAGTCAAATTGTGCGTAAATCTATATGTAGTCAAATTGTGCATTTTTTCTTTAAACACGACTGAAGGCACCGAAAAGTCCGTTTTTCTGTCCACTGACCAAATTGCTTATTTTTGCGTAGAATAATTTTAATTGTATTTTTCTTAACTGTTTTTAACTGTAGTTTGTGTTTTACGTTTTTCTGGATTTTGCAATTTTCTATAAAGACGCTTTGCGGTTTTATATATTTTTGCTTACCGCGAAGTTAGAACTGAATTAATTGAACGAGAAATATATCTCTAATGAAATAAGCTTAAATGAAACACAGCAAAAACTTGTGTATAATTTAGTGGGCCATACAAGGAAGTCATGCGCCGTCATTCATATATGTTGTTTCAGTCGTTAGTCTCTGGACACTTAGAAGAGAAATTAGTGGGGAGAACGAATGCTATTTATTTACAACGTGTGAGCACCAATTCTTGAGGCAGACAGAAGATACTGCTGAAAGACATTTGAGAGGGATAATTGTTAAACGTCTGTCCTTTCCCATCCTAGACTGTATCAAGAAACTCCATCCATTATCCTTTCACGATGATATTCGAAATGGTGAATTTAAATGTGCTCCAAATAGTACGGTAAATACAGGATGTCTCTTCAAGATTGCCCAAACTGAACAACTCGCTTGGAGTTCGTGAAATATGCCTAAAAGACTGTGTCGATATGACTCATAATTTTCGAAATAAATGCGAAAGAGGAAATGACATCATATTCGGTGCAAGGGGGAAAAAGGAACTTTACTAGAAAGAGGAACTAGTATTTGCTATGTTTGCATATGATGATGTTTAAATTGCCCAATGCGCATATTTTTCGCACTGCGTAATGCGCACGGGGCTTACATGTTCGCTCCGTGGAATGACTCCAAGCTATCGTCTTAAAAGGCTGCATCTAGTAGCTACCGGTAATCTTGGCGTGGTGGTATGTATTCTGCACGTGATTGGCTGTATATGGAATCCCCATGCCACTGAAATGAACATAAGAGTTCTGTTTTATGGCCATCACGATCGCCAGATCTGACACCTTTGGATGTCTTGTTGTGGGTCCATCAGAAGGATCATCTGTCACCTGAAGGAATTGTTCTGTGGAGACTTAGTTACTACGGAGAGTGACTTAATTGCTCGTCTTTATGCTGCGCTACTGCGACGTCAGTTATTCCACGGCGCACGCTAGTATGCCTCGATATGCGCAGTGGACATTTTGAGCATCTTTCTGCTAAGTTCATGCAAATACCGATGTCGATGCTTCCAATAAAGTCCCCTCCCTTTTGCATAGGGTGACGTCATACTTTCGCCATTTATCACAAAAGCTATGGGTCGTATACAAACGGCTCTTTTGGCATTTTTTATGTATTTCAAGCGAATAATCTGACTGTGCAGAATTTTGGTGGTCTTGATGGGATACCCTGTAAAATTACTGACGCTTAACCGTGAATTATCAAATCTGTATTTCTCTGGAATGGAAGATCCGCTCTCTACTATAATTTACAAGCAGTTTTCTATAGCTATCTGGCATAATAACGTAAATACTCTTTTACTTTAATGAATACTCGATATATTTACACTTCTTTTTGTATTATATATTAAGCTTCACGTTATTACTTTAATATTATATGATGTATTTCGCATGTAAAAAACTTATCAATAAATTTGAATTCTTTCAAATATGAATATTCAGTTTAAGTTATAATTTATTTTGCATCTTTAATACACGAGAGAAGTTTTATTCCAATTTTGTTGATCTTCAGTGGTTTTCTATTGCCGCAGATAAGTATTATAAATGATCTATACCCTTTCTAGATTTTAGAAAGAATATTTAGAAAATAAAGCAGAGTCAAAAAGTATTCTCTGACTTTTCTCAGCGACCTGTGTGACGCGAAAAGACAGTCCTATCTATGCATGTTTCTTAGTTTTTCTGTCTGAATACTGCCACCATTTGTAAAGATATTCATATCTGTCAACTTGAAAAATGGTAACAGACCTAAAATGTATCCCAAATAAGTAGAAAAGGTATGTAACTCTCCAAAAAAGAAATAATAATAATAATTGTGACAAATGGAAAACTCGGAAGGAATATCGAATATCCTTTTGTGGCTTTCTATTGGTCAGTAAGCAACACTCCGATAGGGAAAAAAGGATGAAAAATAAGACGAAAAGAGATGCATTATTCTAGAAATTACACCTTAATTTTAAATATGTCGTTATCTCAACACACTGAGAGGCCTAATAACATTACTTTTAATTCTCTGGTGTCATATTTAAAAATTTATTTATGATCTCATATGTAAAAATCTCAATATATTTATGATTCAATATATTTAAAAATTATTTATATGAGAAAATTATATAAAAACTGATAAGTCTTTTTTTAAAATTGAAATTTATTAAGACATATGATGGGAAAAAAGTGAGTTGAATGCCTTTAAAAGAAGGAGAATTTGTATGCATTTTCAGTAACACAAAGTAGCAAACATGGGATTATAATATTTAACGGAGTTAAAAGTGCTGAAATTTTGACATTTAGTTGAGGTCCAATGTAACATAATACACAGGCTGTGAAAGATTCGTATTATTTCAATTCTAATCTTATGAGCAACGTCTGCTGTTAGATATTTTGGATAACAATGTTGAATTTAAAAGTGAGGCTTTTTAAGTTATTAAAATTTATTTAATTGCATTGGTAGCCTTCAGAGATGCGTTAGTTTAAAATGCTTCGAAGCTGCCTCTTATTTTAATTGTCTATACAGTTTCTTTAGTCTATATGATATTTGCTTCTTCCTTTCTGCATTCCTTCGTGGTGCAACCGGAGCACACTTGGCGTGTATTGCACTGGTCCAAACACGAGTCTCAGCTACGGCATTGTACATTTTCCACGATTTTTGCTTCAAAATAATCTAATTTTACTACAGTGGCGCCCGAACTAAAAGGTAATGGGTGATGATGCTTAGGATTCGGAGATTCGGTCCCCTAAGCCCCAGCCGGCATTTAAATGGGGGAGTATATAAGGTACTTTCTCCCTCCTTTCTGCATGACTTTTGGTGTAATAGCAGCACACTTGAAGAGCATTCGAGAGGTCCTGGTTCGAGTCCCGGCAAGGGCATTGCACCTTTTTCACTATACCTGCTTCAAATAACCTAATGACTCTGCAAATGAAATAAAAATATCTCATGGGTACACCACATGACTTTCTTGTACGGAATATTAAATTATACGCATTTGTTTCTTAAATTTCATTTAAATTGATTGGATTGAATTAAATCTACTTCGTCGACATCGCATAAACTACAATAGAATAAATGCACTCTTTAAAATTCACTATATTTGTTTACTATAACGACACTCTGAATGCACAGAATTTATATCATTTGAAGAATTATCGTTGCCACATGTTCTATTCAAATACTATAATAAAGTTAAAACGATGTATGAAAGAAATTAAGCAAACAAAACAGAAAAGCAACAGTTTTTCACAGACGATTGAGTATTTTTCATTCAATTAACCTTTTGAGGGCGGGGCTTTGGTAGCAGTAAAAGCTACCAAAGGACTGGGAATCTTGAACCGAATGCTTTCCCCCCTTTAAGAAAACACTTCCTATTTGCAACAAAGATTCTTCTGTGTAGTTTAATGGATTCGCAGAGGGGTGCATGTATGTCGCAAAAGGAAGATCTTTGAAAGAGATAAGTGGTTAAAACCCCAGAGACGTCAAATTTGACATTTCACCCCACGTTTCAGCCTGGAAAATGAGGGAAAAAGACATGGCCACTAAAGTGGACAACCCCGTCTTTTCAAAGAAGGACTCTATGGCCACTATAATGGCCATCCCGTCTTCAAAACGTTAATTCAGTTCTCATTTCGCGACAAGGCAAAAATACATAAAAACTTAAAATCTATATTAAAAATTACGAAGCAAATCTTAGACTGTGCTGAGTCGAGAGCTATATCGTCGAGTGCATCGCGAATTAGTGCATCGTCGGGTTTTGTCTTAGACTGTGCTGAGTCGAGAGCTATATCGTCGAGTGCATCGCGAATTAGTGCATCGTCGAGTTTTGTCTTAGACTGTGCTGAGTCGAGAGCTATATCGTCGAGTGCATCGCGTGGAGAATCTGGAGAGTACGTGGAGTTCCGAGAACGACCAAACAGAGTTGGTAGCTGGGTGCAAAGCGGGTGCTTTGCAGTGAAGCTGTCTCCACCGTTATTACCTGACAGTGTGAAAGCTGTGTCGCTGAACGTGTCAACGTGTTTATAGTAGTTCGTCGACGACTGTAAAAGTGATTTGGGAGCTATCGGATTAATATTGGCTAAATAAAATGTGTTTCGCTACTTCATCAAGTGTCGTTATTCACTCCAAATCCACACGAACCACGTACATAACGTGGTGTCAGAAAAAAATGTAACAATATTTTTCCCGCCTTCTTAGCATGCCTTTGTGGGGTAGTTGTCAGCATACTCGGCGCGTATTCGAGAAGTCCGACGTTCCAGTTTCGGCGAGAGCATTGCTCATTTTTCATCTCTCCTGCTTCTGGATAACCTCACATCTCTACAAATTATTAAATACTTTTGATTCAATTTCTCGGATTTTGCTTCCTGTTAAAACTGAAAGTAATGACATTCGAAGGAAATACCTTTTGCAATACGCGAACGGTACAAATAAAATAAACGCATAGCTACATCTTGAACACTTTAATCATCCCTTTATTAGTTAACTGTGAAATTCTCCCAGTGGCGTTAAATTACGATAACATAATAACTGAAAAATTGTTTTATGTCATTTTGAACAGTTCCTTTTAAATGTAAAATGTTATGTTCTGTAACTTTCACTACTGAGGAACTAATATTTAATCTGTAAAACCTATCGTAACTGCTCAGTTTAACCCTTTGCGGCACAGTGTGTCCGGTCTGGACACACCTAAAAATTTCTTTCTGTACGAAGAGAAAAATTGAATGAAAAAGGATTTATAGCTTACTATAGGTTACTCTGAACCTTCTTTATTTATAGTAGATGGCAGCTCAACACAAACCAGTCTATATAATTTTAGCCATGTTTAGTTTTTTAAGACCCTCATTTTTCAAAGAAATCTTCCAGATTTTTTTAGGGTATAAAAGGAATTGTTTGAAAAGAAATTTCTCTGTTATTTTTTTTGGCTGTATGCTAATCTCCTTATTCTATATTAGTTTTAATTTTTTACCTTGAAATCTTGCCTAAAATCAAACGGCGAACCCTAGGTGTACCCAGACCGGGCTTACCGATCATCTGGGACAACTGAGAATCTGTATTCGTTGTTTCGCCCGCATCTCATCGGTCAGTTCATTGACAACAAAGCTCGTTTCAGCACTCTTTTCGAAGCTTTATTCAATCAGTGTGCCCACTTTGGGCACACCCACAGAATTAAACGATAAGTGCTATCTTCACAAAATTTTACTTGTGTACTCGTCTAGGCTTAATTAGACTGCCTACCATTTTTTATTTATCAAAACTTTGACTTTAAAACGTAGCGTGTCGGAAAGGGTTAAAGCCGTTTCAAATATTGAACTGAAAAATGGATACTCAAAATCAGGCTGATATTTTATTTAATTTTTATATTTTAATTTTTTTTTTTTTTTTTTTTTTTTTTTTTTTTTTTTTTACTTTTTCGAAAATTTAATATTTAAACCCTTGAAGGTATTAGACTGCAATCCGAAGCTAAATTTTCAGATTTCACTATTTTAAACCCTTTGTAAAACTTCAAAAAGATCTGAATCGTACTCTCAAAAGAAAAAAATAATAGTTCAGGACACGAAACTTTGGAAAAGGAGAAGAAAACTAAGTGAGAAAACAGTGATGTTTTGCTGCAAAAAACACTTAATCTTGGGAGGTTTTTTTTTATGATTGAGTAGTAAGTATTTCACTAAATTAAATCAAGCAAAATCACTAAATCACTAAACAGAAATTTAGAAAAGAAGTATAACTGTAACCAGATCCCAAGAATGAATTGCAGATTAGTTCCAGAAATGAGCACTAGGGATCAATAGACGAAACTTTTTCTCGCAAAACTTTTACGTGATTGGATACATTGACAAATAGTCTTGAC